ATAAAAATGCAGCAGCGTATTTTTTTTTCAAAAACATTTATTGACGTGTAAGTACGGACGCCACTGACAACACAGAAAATGTAGTTTTTGTTGCAAAATGGGCTCTCTCGTTGGCATTCACCGTCTCTTCAGCTTTTTAGCGAAAGTAATTAGGACTATCTTGAAAATACGACCACAGAGCAAAAGTTTACAAATAATTATTGGAAACAATCGCTGCCCTCATCGCTCTGAGGATTTCTAAACATTCTTTAAATTTTCAGGTCATTTCAGTTTTATCAAAGTTTCTATTAAGCAATTCTTTTTACGAAAAAACCAGTTTTACTTAAATGATTGGAAATCTTTAGATATTTTATGTGAAAAATTTTTGGAAGATAAATTTTATAGCCACGTTAACAGCTTGCAAAAGCTGTTAAGAAAACTTTTTGCAGCTTCGAATTATGGACAAAACCCTAATAATTATTTCTAGATCTTTTTCCAAAAATTATTCCCCGAAGTGAAAAAGCAAAAGCTTATAATAATTTATTTGGAAAATGCTTGGAAACCGGAGTTTCTTCACTTTTAGGTCAATATTTCTAAACAACACTGCCTCTAAACAGAAAAACCGCGTTTTTCCTAACGTTTTACTGTAAAATACTGGCAATTTGAAGCTTTTATGCAAAAAATAAGAGATCGATTTTACAAGCAAATTCGTCGACTTTCTTTATACTCAGTTCTGTTGCTGGGAAAATCTAGATTACTTTTTTTAGTTCTTTGAACAAAGTAGTAAAACGTTACTCAGAAAACATGTTAATAACCCTTTTTTAGATGTGAAAATTCCAGTCTCGGGTCTTGTAAAGCTTTAACATATGAATTATAACTAATTAACTGATGTTCATGTTATAACTTGATAACTCAGAGAGCGGCAACAACTCAATAGTGCAACTCAACACAGTGTTACTAAGGCCCTGGAGATGTTTTGACCAAGGCTTTAAAGGCGTGGTCGAAATTAAAGGTCTGAATCCGTAATTAATTTCGGTATTGCAGTCTGTGTGACTCATCAAACGAACAATGCATTCGCTAAGATTGAACGTTTCCTTTCGTATCACCTCCTATCAGCTATTTGTAAATATTGTGTGTAAACATTCAGCAATGGATGTTTGAGTTGGTATTGTTTATAATTTAACATTAACTGCTGTTTGGTCTATTTCGTTTTCGTTCCTTGCTTGTAAATTGATATTTGATTATTTTGATTGGTTCATACCGAAACTTTTGCGGCAAAAACCCACGTATTGAGTGAGACCGACCAACTTAGGTACTTACACTTATTTTGACAATCAGTAGGCAATTTTTTTCGAGTCGATTTTTTATCAAATCCATTGTAGCAAATCAGCCAAAAAATGCAGTTTTCGGAAATTTTAGATGCGAAAGTGAATAACTTTAGGCAGAACTATTAATTCCTTACTTTTGCACACCTTTAAAACCCTGTAAAAAATTAATGCCCGCATGCACTTAAAACTTCTTATGATTTCTTCAAATTTCTTGGTCAGTTTTTCTCGGTTAAGTTCATGATGAATCAGTTATTGAAATCTTCGCATCAACTCGTCTTTTGTGTGAGTATGGTTTGGCTCAAGCTATTTGGCAGTGACGTCATTATGTGAGATTATATTGAAATTTACTTATAAGTACCTACCTATGTGAAATTTGTTTGAACATTTTTCTTTCATTTTGCGTAGTTGCCAGCTTGACCGTCTGTCGCCGGTGTTTAAAAAACTTATTTTTGTTGAAACTGATATTACTGTTGTAGCACGGTAATTTAGAAATTTAAAAACTTTCTTTAGTTTTCATTGTTGTTGCATTAGACATTTGTCATTAGTATTGCTTGATGTAAGAGTAGAAATTTGATTTTTCGACATCAATTCGTTTTTTACAAGAGCAGTCGACAACATTACATTAAAATTATGTGAGGCAAAAATGAAGTGAAGTTGGCAGAATGTAAAAAAAGGAATTGCAAAAATAAGTCACTATCTTCGATGTCGTTGTCAATATGGCTAAAATTTTGTTATTTGCCTGAGAGTAAGTTTGCAGTCAATTAGAGGAAAAAAATGAGGAATAAAGAGAATAAATACAAGATCTAAGCGATGCAGATGAAAATACATGAAAGCGAACTGAACTGTTGTTTGCCCTCACAACATTGCTTATTCATTATCGGTTCGACGAAAATAGCAAATAGCGACAAATAAATAATAAATCGGTAAATAGAAACGATATCTTCAAAATGCGACGTGGTAGTATGAGGAGGTATAATAGAGGAAATGCGGAAAAGTATGAAGTAATGCGGAAGTATGGGAAAGTACTGGTTAGTCTTCTAAAATGAAACATGCACCAGAAATCAGGAGGGGTAGTGCCCCCCTCGAATAAAAGCATGGAATTGGGGCTTCGCATTTATTCAAGGGATTCCATCGTCGCACATACCTATAGTCCATCATGCGATCCAGTGTAATACCTTTGTTACAAATCTGCTTGACATTGTTCAAATTCAAGAATAAAATTGCTAAGATCAGTGTAAACAAGATATATTTCATTAAAAAAAATAGTAAAAAAATGAAAAAAAAAACGCAAAAAAAAACGAAAAAGTATTTTAAAACAACAGGTGTAAACATGACCCTACCAATATCCGTATCCACATCCATAACCGCGTTGTTTCTGACTGGAGCCGAAGAATGCAAGGTGAGTGAAGAGAGGTCAAGCCCAGGTGACACAACGCGTTCATAATGGTAGGGATTAACACAAACAAGATCGCACTTTAAATCAAACGCATACGTGCACAACTTTAAATGTTTCAACTCGTTTTTGTGCAAATCGGGCCACCTCCAAATTCTCGCATAAATCACATGGGGAAATCCTTTTCGCGCCGCTACCTGTAGGCGCCCGTCCAAAGTTCGCTGAATTGTGACACACTTGCTCGGTTGGGCGCCTGCCGTTGTTATGGCAACAATAAGCGAATCCAATTCATCTCGTTTCTCCTTCAATTTTTTGACGAGCGATTCGATGGCCCTTCTGGCAAACGGCTCACTTTCGCCTCCTTGCCGATGGCACATCAGAGTATGAACGATATTTTGACAAGCATCCGCGGACGACGGAATATTTTGATTCACGGTAGACATTACTTGCATTCACTAAAAGTAAGGTTAAAGGAACGCGTTTGTACGGCCGACCTTGCTTGCGAAACTAACCACAGACACTGTTGAGCTGTGAGCATGCGGATGCCCGACGCAGACCATTCGCGCCGAGTTCGTCTGGTTTTGCCTGCGTGTAGCTGCCAGCCTGCTTGAATTGCCGGAACTTCACGTCATGGTGATTTTAAAATTAGCCCGCCGTATAAACGAGAAAATGAATTCCCCAGCGATACTGAATGGAAAGATGCCGGTTAATACCTACTCCACTTCCCAACAGTGTCGAACAGGGGCCGACAAACAAGTTCTTTTTAACTCCTTTTAGTAACCGGTGAATACATTTAACTACCCTTGGGGGTTTTATTCAAACATATCCGCAATTCGGCAATGGTACAGTTCATTTGAGTTAATGATGCGCAGTGGTGGCGCAGAGTACATTGACATATATACAGGGTTATCCACGCTATACGGCACGGACGTTTGCGGCTAGCCCGTTTGTTTTTTGCAAAGTATTATTTGATGAATCCACAGACGCCTATCGGGTGCACATTTTA